TTCTATAACTTCACGATCACATCACAACAGAACATTGGTCATGTTAGAACTAAGTCTCCAGTACTGCACGCATGGCTACTTTACTGCGATTTGCTTTGCTTTCTGAGCTTGCATTTCAAGCGTAGCTCTTCTTGGTCTGCGTAATAAACAATATAATGAGTATTAAGGGATATGCTAAATTTTGGGCTGTTATGCAGGGTCTACCGGATCTCAGTTCTCAATCCCGGTGTTCGCAAATTAGAATTAAATTTTTTTGTGTGATCTGACTCCAAAAGATCTCAATATAATAATTTGCCAGTCGTCAAGGATACACGACTGATTTGCATAACTTATTTCCTTTTTACAACACTTCTCTTTAACTTCACTTCTTAATTGTCTGTTTGTTTGTCTGTCTGTCTGTCTGCTACAAATCTTGTAATCGAAATTTAACACACTTCTACCTGTCCAATCGATCTGAAATTTTGACAATGCATGAATCAATCGACAGAATAAATAATTTTGAAAATTAAATTTTCTTATATATTAACAAAAACTTTGAATTGAATTTTTTTAACGTTGGAAAATAAAATTAGGAATTCATAGCACATTTGTAACATCGGAGACACTGGATTCTTTAGAAGTGTTGTCTTTAAGAAGTAATTTTTAACCGTATATATTATTCAATTCAGTTTCTCAAGCACCCCAATAGTTGACCATTAAATTTATTATCATTATCATATATGTAAATTTTGCCATCGCGAAAATTTATTATTACTCCTAAGAAGCGCTCTCTGGCTGTATACTTTCCATGACAACGCATGGGACAACCAAATTTGCAGTTTTGTAATAGATAATAAAACGACTGAAATATCTAACTCAAAAACCAATCTTGCAACTCCAAAAAGTAACCTAACGAAATCTCACAGAACGTTCAGCACACAGAAGATTTATTCCTCTCGGTGATATACGCACGCATGTTTTTTTATATATGTAAGTACGTGACCATGATAGAACGGTTTCGGTACTACGAAGAACAAACAATTTTCGGAGCCTATTTTGAAATTGCAGGCCGACAATAATTGAAACGAAGGAATGCAGGCAGAGTAATTATATTTTATTTCGTTTCCAATATATGCTGATTTTTAGCTACATCGAGGTTGACCAATATATAGAGATGAATAACACTCCAACCTGGGCCGGAGGTTTAGTGCTCATAAATTGAAAAATTCTTGATTTTAGTAGACTAAGTGCATGCCATTATTGGACGGAGAGCTTTGTATTGCATTGATTGGCGATGAACTTACGATCTCTTAACTTTTTTTGAAAGTATAGGCTCAGGTGAGCAGGATACAGGAGCTATTCGTTAACGAAGGCTGAGAAAAAAATCATAACATGTACTGGAGGTTTTTTGTGCACAGTTTTGTGATTTCTATATTCAACTATAGAGATCAATTGACACATCTCGATCAGTTTATAAATGCTTGAGGAAATTACGAACAAATTTAAGTATAAAACAACATTCGACAGATAAAAAAAACAGCGATTCGCGTACAGACGCTAACAAGTGTATAACTTTCGTGTTTCCAAGGTGGTACATTTATCGGGATTTACGTCCAGAAGGACCTCACTGTCTATAAAGTATGTGACGCGATCAGAAATGTGATGTTCGGTTTTTCTCACTTAAAGTTCATTACGAATTGTTAACTATTTTCGATAGTAATGCGCAGAGATATTAGTACGTTTTTAAATGGCCTTCAGTACTGAAGTTTTGGTGAACACAACACACGAGACAGCAGCTACACAACACAAGATGTAAAAAACCAATCTGGCAATTGCAAAATAATTGGAAACCACAAAATTATTAAGACTACCAAACTACTGAATCAATAGATACATTAACGACCGTCATAGCAATACTGACGGCCGCTGTCAGTAACGAGATTAATGGTACCTGCACACGGAGCAAGCTATGGATTAGATCGGCTAGTGCACTGGTTCTCTATAACTTTTTCAGTCTGGCGCCCCCTTTGGCTCCCAATGAATCTCTAGCGCCTCCCCCCGACAGACACATATAAAAACAAACGCCTTTTTTGAATATTTAGTATGCTGCAATTTTAAAAGAGAAAGGTTAAAAATAAATGTGTATTTCACAAATAGAACCCCTTTTAAGTAAACCAATATATTTTCTACGGTTTTAACTGTTTCAGCACTAGAAATTCAAAACGGCTCGGACAAATTTACGGCCGGACTCGTGGCCGGTCTCGCATCCGGTCTTACGGCCAATCTCCAAATTCAGTGACCAAGGAATATCTCCCAAACTAATCAACGCAGCTCGATAAAACTTGGAACACGTAATAATTAGGACATAACGACGATGTTTAGATCATGAAAGTTTTAAATTTCACCTTCATTCGGGAGTTATAACATAACATAACATAGTGATGTCGGCTCTGAAGTGTAGGCCTGATGTGGCCTGTCGCCGATTCTTTTCCATTTCGTGCCTTGTTCATAGATCTAAACTCGTGTCATTTGACCGGATCTTTTCATGACTGGCGATAGTTTGAAGAAGCTACTAGACTTCCACCGGGTTCGATAAGGAGCTAGGCATTTCAAATCTGAACATATATTTTTCCATAGCTTTATCTAGTCTGTTCTTGAACTGTCTCTTATACACATCTAGATGTGTATAAGAGACAGCACTGCGAGTTCGTAAATAACGCTTGTAGGCTTCTTTCTTGGTCTTTAGCTGAGTCTTAACTGCACTGGTCATCCACTGGGACTTTTTGACTCCTCCAAGCGTAATCTTGGGTATGCGATACGGCGATATATATATGGCGATACTCTTATATGGCGATACGGGCCGAAATCTGCAGTGCTCAAAGAATTTCTTCCAAACTGCTGAACAGATTCGAACGAAATTTTTGTTATAAATTCCTAACTACCAAACGGTGATTTTTAGCTCGTGAAAATTTATTCTAGTTGGAGTCATGTTCTGCATGTGTTGTGTACAAGTCGTCAAACAAACGTATACGAACTTCTGACTTCGACTTCGCGGACTGCCGCCCGCGAGTACTGCCCCTTTCTTCCCCTTTTCTACTGCCCCCAGATCTGCCTACCGCCCTCAAGGGAGCGATATCGCCCACTTTGGGAATCACTGGGCTAGTGGATTCAGCTAATATTAGGATCGGAAAATTATTAAGTTTTAAGATTTTACTTTTCTTTGGAAATTCCAAATTTCGATTTAGTGAAATTATAGCAGTATAGAAAGTGAGCGGATGGTCACAATCTGCATAAACAGCTTAAATCATGGGTTACCCGATCATTCACTTAAAATCTTGCATCGAATCTTGACCATCAAAATTGACCAATTTACCCGAATAAAACCTGGTCATTTACCTACAATTTTATTTCGAATCTTGGCAATAAAAAATATGAGAACTGCCTTCCGATCAGAAACCCGATAATTTCCTTTCAATTTTTCCCCGATTCTTGTCCATCCAAATTTTGTAAACGATCGTTTACCCACGGTCGACCATACACTCTTTAACCGAAAACTTAGGGCTTGAGCGAGTACTTTCATAGAATATATAATTAAAAAGATTAATAATAATTATAATAATAATCATTATTTAATAATTATTATTATAGTAATGAATCATAATCGCCCAACCAGTAGTGACAGATTGAAATTGTCCTCTAACTAGTCTTTTTGTGGCCTCCAGAAATAAATTGGCAGCTACGAATGAGAAAATACTGGCAGTCAATACTTGCCTCGTGAATAAGGGCTTACTTGCCTGTAAAATTGTAAGCGGCTAGTTGCAGCCGGTAATAACAAGCTGCTTCAATTTGCCTCGTGTAAACGCAACTTCAACATGATTTTCAAGACGCTTTTGCTAATGGCTCTCCGTTTATTTTAAATGTTGATTGTTGAAACATGTTTAGGTGGTCATGCCATTTCACTAACTGACGACCCTAGGAATCTGATCAATAAACTAAAGCCCTCGTCTCATGACGGCATCTTGTCAAGATGTAGAAGCTAGTTTTAAAGGCTACAATTGCGTCTTAAGGCCCTGGTTGAAGGTCGCGATGCTTCTAACAGGCTTGGCTCTTCCCTAAGCGTTTCTTCACAAATTAGAATAGACTTTACTCCACTCGTAAATGAGATGGCGATATGGATTTTTCCATTTTCCATGCTTACCCAGCTATTTATTTATAAGCGGCGACCAGTAACAAAAAAATATGTAAACTTTGTATTAAAAGTTTTAATGAGAGGAAATTTCAAGAAACTTTGAATATTATTTTTCATCAAGTCTGCGACTTTATTACCTTTTTCGAGATGTAAAAGGGTTGTAATTCTTATTTTACATTGAATGGTATACTCGACATTCCTTGATCAGCCTCCTTGTTGTAAATATTCTTTCTCAAAAAATAGTTATGATCGAGCCTGTTGATACGCGGAGGGAATATCCCGCATACTAGCTGCTCAAATGGAGGCGTTATGGAAAGTTTGAGGAGAAAGAGACGTCGTAAGTTACTCAACTGTCAGTTCACGACGGGCGGCATGGTGATAGCGAACTCAATGAGGGACAAAGAATAGTACATGGCCAGTTGTCGGTCTAGTCCAATTAGTTATAAGTTATAACCGACCGTTGGCCATTCCTCGGCCATCTGAAAGCGACCAGTTTCCGCGAGAAAGGGGCTGGCTAGGATATCATATTACGTACAAAGAGTACAAGCTCGAGGGTAGCGACATGGCCGAGCTTCGGGCAGATCAAGGATTTTACACGATGGTCGCGAAAACGTCGCTCTGCACTGCTTTCAATAAGGGCCCAATTATAGTTAAATTTTCAATTATAATTATAGTTTAAAAATTTTCCTTGTAAAATGAGTAAACGCCTCCAGAGGAGTGGAATAAGTTTCAAATCATTTAGATTTTAGACTAATACTTTGAACAAGCAATTGAAAGTCTGCCCATAAACATGAAAAAAATCGTGATACCCCCAGATACTCCGTGAGAAGAACTCAGAGGATACCCCATTACACGGAAGAGATCAGGATGTCTACCGGTGGACTTGTCGTCTTCGGTCTGGTGGTCAAAGCATTTTATGACGTCTGGAGTGTGCAAGAGGCGGGTGTGGCGTCGCAGGTGGCGTGTGCGGCTCGTTGCAGTCAACACGATGCCTGTGGAGGATTCCAGTGGAACTCTTCTTCAGTGAGACATAAGATATTTCTTGCTGTTGACAGCATGAGTTAATCACGTATGCTGTTTGGTCAATATTTGTGGCCGTTTCCCGAGTGATGCTGAGTCGCCGTGGCGCAAGTTATGATTGCTGGACGACAGTATTTCATTTAGCTTATCGTTTATTTTTCTAGAAAACCCCTTCGAAACCACTTTCTTGGTAATCAAGTCGGTTCAGATGTGGTATACGTGATGAAATCGCACATTTCAATCGTTGAGATCGTAAGTTTATCAGGCTCAAAACAAATAATTCCGAGTTAACACGAATCCTTTGTATTGATCACGAACCATAAATCAGAATGGCGCTCACCAATTTCTTCCCCATTCTTACCGCAGTGTTTCCTGGTGGTGGACTCTTCGGTGCCTGGCGCCGTGAAGGGCCCGATGACGAACGTGTTCAGACTCAACTCGTACAAGACGAACTACATCCTGTACGAATTACCTCCTCCGCCAGGTGGCATCAGTCCAACGTGAGTGTACCTGATATTAATATGGTATACTTTTTTATTATAAGCTACGAAAAAAATTTTGCCTGAATTTGCGTTATACCTGAGCAGTTGCTACTGCCTATCTTGACCCTTTCATTGATCCTCCTCATCCATACCAAGCTATCGAGGTTTATTTGTAATTTCCTATGAAGATTTATCCTTCTGATGCTCGATTGCCTATACTTCTTATTAGAGTCTCGAAAAAACCTGTATCCCTTATTAAGATTGAAGGAGAAACGGACCCGAAAATCAAATCTTGATTAAATTTGCAGAATTTCACGATAAATCTTCTTGACCTTATATTTAGGGGATGGAAATTCATTGCATCCGCGAGAGCTCATTCTCGTTCGAAATTTCAAATGGTAATGCAAACATGTAGCACATGTCATTTTAGGCTCCACTTCCGGTCATCCGGAAATTTCACTGTTCACTTAACAAAGTTGTACTGCTACTTCTTTGGAGGCGATCTCTTTGGCGTAACACCGAGATTTTCGTCCGCCATTCTGCCCAGTTGAACTACCTCTTAATTTTGCCATGAGGCGATACGGCTGATCTTCGAGCTCTGAGAAGCATCGACAAAAGAAAAAGAGACGGTCATCCTGAGGAAATTATTTCCGTGATAATGTTAAAGACCGTACACACGAGCCAAAGGTTTAAGTTTTAATTTGCAGAATTCATTATTGATTAACTTCTTTTCTAGGGTCGCGTTTGAAACCTGTCGGAACAACAGCATGGATCTGGTACCAAACCCCGTCACCCCAAAAGTGAGTCACTAAGTCAATCCCTGTGTCAAAACAATTTTGGTGTCGTGGGTATAGGTGCTTGTACACGGGGCTATTATAAGCTGCGAGTTTTCACACTCCCACTTTAGCAGGCCGAAAACCTATACACGAGGAGAGTATTTGGAAAACAGTCCGCAAGGGCCAGTGCGTCGCAGGAAGCTGTCGAAGGAGTGGTGGAATACGTATATGGTGGAATATGGAACGTAGCGGTAGTGACAAGTTTGAGGAGGCATTTGATGAAGTTTTCAACTCATCAAATTGAAAAGAAATTTCTCAGGTTTTTCGTTAATGAAGAAAAGACTTAGAACTTCCTCGTTGATTTAATAATTCAAAATTGAGAAGAAATTTCTCATATGTTTCGTTAATGAAGAAAAGACCTTTAATTTCCTTGTTGATTTAGTAAGCCAAATACGTTAAGGTCGACTTCATGCGGTACCAATCACAGTACAAATGTCGTAAACCTGATTAAATTTTTGCCAATTTCAGGACAGGGCGAGTTTGTCCATCCGCCTGACGGCAGGCTTCTACGTAGACATGATACGTGCCAGCAACGGCTCGTACGTGACTCGGAGCTCCGGAGTTGTGGTGCCTGACACGGCCATCTTCGGCTGGCTGGCTGGCGAACCTAATGGCGCCGGCCAGCAATGCATGGCAATTGGCGGCTATCTTTCCTTGTACTTCGACTGTCTCTGCAGTTATAAAGATATCTACGCAGGGGTCATTTGCGTCTACAGTGCATTGCATTAAAACACGCATTTTGTTTGAATAAGTCGGGCAAAGCTGTCTTTGCTTAAGGTTTGCTAGAATTTATGACATCATTAGATTGACTATATAAATTAAAAAGTTATATTTGCGTGAAATTTTTACATGGACTTTTCTCTGTATTTCGCTTCAGTCGATTGTTCGCTCATTTTCGAACGATTGATCGTTGTTACACGATTCAGCTTTTGTTTTGCAATGACCGCGCTTGTAGATTTGTATGTGGACTGTATTTTTTATTCAATTTTTAGTTCTAAACTTCGCACCTAGGTTCTTTTCCAGATATTTCTAAGTGATTACTGTTAATAAATGCGTTTGGTACTTCTTTCTATCCGAAAAGTTACTAGACGAAAAGTTTTTCCTGATTAGCGGAAAAAATCGGCACAATTTTCAAATTCTAGTATAATACTGGAAAATCCTGACGGGGCGTCTCGGAAAAAAATAATAAACTTTCTCGGAATGAACATCATTTTGAACGAGAACTATAGGCACAAAACGAGAATTACCATTTAATTTTGATGTTTAGTTACTGAATTTTGCCAGACATTTTGTCATTTCGTCAGTCTTCAATATTTCAAGTACTTCACTACGTAAAATGATATCCCTAATGTCCATCATGCATATGCGAATGTATAGGCATATCTGAAAGGAGAAAGCCCGTCTACATTCTCCGACGAGGCCGACGCATAAGGGCCGAAGAAGAGGCCGGCGCTCCCGAAGGCTGAGCGCCCAAGCAAGAGCCAGCAGGACCATTACTTCGATTATCGTTATTCCATATATTATTTCTATTATGTTATTATATATACTATATATAAGATATTATTCTATATTTGTATAATCCGTTTGAAGTGTTATAGCACAAGGCATTTCAGAAGACATAATTGAAAGATTGTAAGTTCTAATTTCATCAAATGACACAAGTATATCCAGAACGAATGACGCCTCAGCTCAGAGTAACTGCTGCGGCAAAATGCTTGATAAGTTATTAAGTGCCAAGCAAGCAGTTGCTTGGCACCTGCCAGTTGTGCAGCCACTTAACCTGACTAGTACTAACCGCCACTAATTATCGGGGTAGTAGCCTCGTGAAGAGGTGCACTGGTAATTTAGGGGTTATTGGCTTGTGGCAACCGGTAGATGGTCACGTGATCAGCTAACGGCCGGCTGATTTTGACTATGAATGAAGACGGCTCAGAATCGAATATAGATGGTGAATAACAGTTTGCACGAACTTTATTTGTGTTTTATTGGTTTAATGCTTGACAGTATCTGAAGAATCTTTTCTACGCATCGTTGTGCTTTGATATCGAATCCATTAAAGACATTTTTCATAAAATTTTTAATATTCTAAATAATACAAGTTAATTAGAGGTTATCAATTCTAAATAATGTGATGTTTCAATGTTTCACTTGTGCCACTCACGAATTTTAATTGACCTTGAAATATCAATCACGTATAATCCACTTGTAATGTACTTTCTCGATTGAGATCTTAACACATCGTCTGCACAACGTATATATCGTTACCAGGTTCTAGATGTGATGATTTCATAAACGGGTGTGAAGTATCCAAATGAGTATCTGTATATTCTTCTAACTTCTAAGCTCATTTAGTACGAATTTACATTCTCATTAATGTTTAACTTGAATACCAATGATCAAACGCCATATGCCTCCTATCAGTAGAGCTAAACTATAATCTAAATAGAAGTCAAGTCGCATATAGCCACAAGCTGTGCATAAAGTAAGCTCAGTCGGTTGGGCTCCAACTTGATTGGCTACAGAATGAGATTTGTAGACCTTCGCGGGAATACCTCAAGAACCACGTTCAACGTTATACAAGTATTTCTAATCGGAAGAGAGCTATTTCTTAGCTTACAGTGCAGTGCCGACACATGCCCAACAAGCAGCCGTTTGCCGCCGAATGGAAATACTAATGAAATTTTCAATTAAGTGAAATATTGATAGCAAGGACTGCAGAAAATTCGTCCACGCATTCTTTTTCGTAATGCGTAGTCATACGTCACGTAGATGCCGACTCATGTCTAACCCTCTGCGATCAGATAGGTTAATCCTCATCAATGCTAATGGTCACTAAGAGTAAGGTAGTTGGGAATTATGGTTACTGTACAAAAGGGTTGATCTCTGCTGTGCATTGCAATCGACATCACGAGCGTCAAAGTCGCTTACTCCTAGATCGGGAGTTATTTTTTTCCCCTAGTTATTCCCGCATTTTTGTTGCCGGCTGTACTGCTAACCAAATCGACGACAACGCGGTAGCTGAGCTCCAGTAGCTCAGCGGTTGGCACTCAGTATTGTTCCACCTGTGATCGGATGCACGCGTCAAGTCTCTAGGAGCGTCTCGTTCTTCAGCAGATCGTGCAGATCTATAATTAAGACTCTTTGATTATTATTAGTTTGATTCAATAATTAAAATGTGTAGGTTTGATTTGATTATTCAAGATACGTAGGTGTATTAGAGAGCAATGCCGTTCATGCAGTAAGATTTTGATATTCAATAGCAAAGTCGGTTTCCAGCGAACTTAGTAATGACGATCTTGAGCAGCATTACCCACCACAATCCCATCACCTTCTTCTTTTATTTACTCTCTGCCGTTATATAGAGGTGACGTGACATCAGATGTCATCCTGTCAATGGAATGAGGCCAGGGACTTGAGTTAGCTTCACTATGACAGAGCGACAGCAGCGGTTTCATCGTGCCATGATCGTACGTTTGACTATATGTCGCGATTAGGGCACCCATGAACTTGAACCGAACTAATGTAGCGGTCCGACTTTCTGTCGTTTGCGCTCTTCTTCTTTCTCTCTTTCCGACGCATTACTCGGAGCTGAAATTGGGCATGAGCCGGGGTCGGCTCACTCTCGATGGAGCCGCCTGCCTGGACGGGCGTGGCAGGATCCAGTATATGGTCAACCATTCATTCAAAACCAAGTTATTGTATTTTGGTTACTTCAACCGTCGGCCATGGACGGGTGCGGCTGCAGGCAATCGGAGCTTAAGTGCCAGTCTCAAGACGGTAACGCTTCCGGCACTGGTCGTCGCCAGGACTTGGTCGATGGTTTGAACATTTCTCACACTCGTCGAACAGCGTAGAAGGAAGCTGCAACTTGTTGGCAACGTTGGACAGAAGTCAAGTTGTAATCTCGGCAAGCGCAGCGCTCCTCCGCTAGAATCCAACACCTTGAATAGATTTGACTGAAGCTAATTTCGCTGAACTGTGACTTCCTTTCTGCTACAACACCGGTGACTATGGATAGGCCCAGCCAAATTAAATGTTCAATTTTACCTTAGTTCAATTTGACATTTCCGGTCTGATGGCTACATATGATTATTGGTGTAATTCTCATGAAATTGCCTGTTTATTTATACATATTGATCGTTAAATATATAGTTCATGCTTGCATTTATAGTCTGTTCATTCTATCTAACTATCCCGTTGGGGTAGCCCATATGTGTTGCCCCCTATCCCGCAACATATATTTTTGGTGGCCAGTATGGGGAACTAGGGAGAGATTCATATTAATTATGGTATAGCTAGTTGGCAGATAGATTTCTGTTAGTGGTAAAATCTTATTTCGGATAGTTTGTGTTCCGTTGAAAGTCAGTTAGATTGGTTGTACGGCTTGGAAAGATTAAGCTATCCAGTTAACGTGTGGTTAATTCTCCCGCAACATGTTTGGTGTTCGGTCCCGGGAGACGACCTCTGATCTTCCAGGCCACTTTTATGGCCATGCCTAATGTTCAATATCTACGATGATTAATTTGTAAATGAGCCTCTATTCTGAAGAATGTCATGATGTGATAACCTTATTTACTGTGAATTCCTTGACCTGAGGTTTAATGTAATTTAACGAAATTTTTGCCTCTGTGAACCCTTGATGATTTGTCGTAGGCATTATGCCTTAGTCTCGTTTGGAGCGGACTACTATGGTTTGTGTGAATTTGTAATATTGCGTGTATTGCTCGTAAATCTCTGTTAAATTTTCCACCGTTATAGCTCGTGTGACTTGCGAATTGCTAGATCCACGCTATTCTGCCGGGGTTGTTGACAGATGCGATTCCCGTCATTTTCCGAAGCAAGCTGTAAAAGTAACTTTATGAGTAGTTCAATGATTCTGATCCTGGCATATGCCATTCCTAATTGCATTGTTCTGGTGACAGCTCGATTTAACGTGACCTGTAACATTTCTTGAAACTGTATAATCTGACTTGTGTAAAATTGGAAGTTGCGACTTACTTATGTCCATGTTTTGTTGACGTGTTATCGATTTTCTTGTAACGAGAGCGATTAGTCTCCTGTGAATCTTTCGAATCTTGTATTTAGATTTAGTACCGGTACTGCCCGGTCATAATGTTCAATTTTGATTGTATAGTTTTTGTCAGCTGGGGGCCTACAACCTTCACTGACATTGAATTTTTCACATGCGATTTTCTTTATGTGCCGAGTAAGTGCGTCGTCTTGGGGGGGAGGAATGTAGCGGTCCGACTTTGTCGTTCGCGCTCTTCTTTCTTTCTTTCCGACGCATTACTCAGAGCTGAAATTGGACCTGAGCCGGGGTTGGCTCACTCGCGATGGAGCCGCCTGCCTGGACGGGAGCAGTTCTTATATTTTGGTTACTTCATTCGTCGGCCATGGACGGGTGCGGCTGCAAGCAATCGGAGCTAAAGTGCCAGTCTCAAGACTAACGCTTCCGGCACTGTACGTCGCCAGGACTTGGTCGGTGATTTGAACATTTCTCTCCCACTCGTCGAACAGCGTAGCAGGAAGCTGCAACTTGTTGGCAACGTTGGACAAGAGCCCCGTTGTAATCTCGGCAAGCACTGCGCTCCTCCGCTAGATTCCCACACTTTGATTGGATTTGACTTGTCTATTTTCGCTGAACTGACTTCCTCTCGGCGACAGCACAGATGACCTTGCGGATGGACCCAGCCAGATTTAGTGTTCTTCAATGTTTAACTATTGGTTTACCGTCTGATAGCTACCTAAGATTATTACTGATGTACTTCTCATGGATTCGCTTGTTCATTTTTATACATTATTCACTAAATATATAGTTCATGCTTTCATTTATATAGTTTGTTCATTCTTTCTAACTATCCCGTTGGGGTAGCCCATATGTGTTGCCCCCTCTCCCGCAACACTACGAAGAGCTAGCTTCAGATGACATGAAAGCAGGAACTGAAACAGACAAGTTAGTTTCGAAGCTAATACAGCCAATGCAAATATTTGAAGTATCCAAATTTTTCATATGAATGTATACCTAGGATTCAATAAACTACGACCTATCGAAACTAAACAGGATTTTAGCCACAAAGCACGATTCATTCCATCAAGGGACCGAGATTCTGAAGTTGAGGTGGGCGTCATGCATCATATGCTGCAAAGTCTATAGGAAATAATTAATCTTTCGGTCCAAATCCTACCAGGAGCTCGCATCACATATCGATTTTGATCGCAACAACTAAATCTGCTTCAGATCGGACGATTGTCTAGAAATTTCCTACACCAGTTCAAAACGAAAGCCGGATGTGGTTCGGAGCGGCTGAACTACAGTGGAATTATTTCGGCTTCACTTCTAGTCTCTTCTGGAGACCATTCGGGACGTGAAGCCTGGTGCTCTGTAGGCTAAATCTCGCGGAAGAGTTGCTAGAATTCCAACAAACGTTAAGCCCCGTTCACACACTGAAGCTTATCGTCAGCCTTGCATGTCATGCCAGGTTTGACCGAGTGGACGCTCAAAGTTTGACGTCTTGCATGACGGGTGGGCGGAGTTTGAGGTTT